GTGTCGTGGATAGCGGCCGAGCTGAGAGACCACCCCCTGCGCACCCCCTGTGGTGTCGAGAAAGTGCCACGCCTGCTAGGCTTTGCGCCAGTGTCGTGGATAGCGGCCGAGCTGAGAGACCACCCCCTGCCCACCCCCTTTGGTGTCGAGAAAGTGCCACGCCTGCTAGGCTTTGCGCCAGTGTCGTGGATAGGGACCGCGGTGAGAGACCACCCCCTGTGCACCCCCTGTGGTGTCGAGACAGTGCCACGCCTGCTAGGCTTTGCGCCAGTGTCGTGGATAGCGGCCGAGCTGAGAGACCACCCCCTGCGCACCCCGTGTGGTGTCGAGAAAGTGCCACGCCTGCTAGGTTTTGCGCCAGTGTCGTGGATAGCGGCCGAGCTGGGAAACCACCCCCTGCCCACCCCCTTTGGTGTCGAGAGAGTGCCACGCCTGCTAGGCTTTGCGCCAGTGTCGTGGATAGCGGCCGAGCTGAGAGACCACCCCCTGCGCACCCCCTGTGGTGTCGAGAAAGTGTCACGAGCTGTGCTGTGTTGTGCTGAGCTGAGCCGTGCTGGGCTGTGCTGAGCTGTGCTGAGCTGTGCTGCGTGCTGAGCTGAGCTGAGCTGTGTGCTGAGCTGTGCTGTGATGTGCTGTGCTGTGCTGAGCTGAGCTGTGCTGTACGAAGAGTGAGGTGTGTGTCGCGGGTGCGGCGCGGCAGGGAAGAAAACCAGAACCCCACGAAGCATGTGGGGAAAAACATTAGAAACATCAATGTGTTGGGCATTTGTTTCTGGCCTTCCTGGAGGCCCTCTTGGAGGCCTCTTGGACCGTCTTGGGCCAGCTTCGAGCCAACTTCGACCATCTTGGTGGGCTCCTGGCCCGTCGGACGCCGTCGGAAGCCGTTTGGGGGGCCTGTCTGGGCCGACTTGGGGCTCTCTTGGGGTGCTCCAGAGCCGTCTTAGAGGCCATCTTGGGCGTCTTGGTGGAGGCCTCTTGGGTCGTATTTGTGCCTTCTTGGGGCCGTCTTGGGGGCCTCTTGGGCCTTCCTGAGGCCATCTTGGAGGCCTCTTGGGCGCTGTGGGGGAGACCTTGGGGGCCTCTTGGGCCGTCTTGGGTCGTCGGAAAGCCGAGAAGAAGCGAATGCCAAACTCCCCCCAAAACCTTAGGAAAATCAATGATTCGGGCCTCTTCGGGCCCTTGGAGGCCTATTGGGCCGTCTTGGAGGCCTCTGGGGGGCCTCTTGGGCCGTCTTGGACTCTCTTGGGCCGATTTGGAGGCCGTCTTGGACCATTTTGGGCGAACTTGGAGGCCATCTTGGACCATCTTGGAGGCCATCTTGGGCCAACGTGGCTATCTTGGCGCCATCTGGAGCCGTCATGGAGGATTTGTTTCCGGATTGAGGTCCTTCCCGGGACCCCGGCGGGACGGGCCGAAGCCCCAGGGGGAGTTCTTTTCTGGAAAAAGAATTATAAGTGAAACCGAAATAGTTTAGCACGCCAGGCACCCTTGTGATGAATCGACAGGGGGCGGCGGATCGAAGACGCCTACGGCGAATCACCGCCGCCCCCTGCCTTTTTGAAAGCGCCTATGTGGCCGAACGTTGAGGCCAGACCTGCCAAGCTATCGGGCCATGTGTTCCCCGAATCGGTTTGGAAAGCCTTCGGGGAAGACGTTGGCATCTTGAAGGTCCTCTTGGCCGCCTGGAGGCCATTTTGACGCTTTCGGTCCTTCTTGGAGGACGTCTTGGAGGGCTCTTGGGCCGTCTTGGAGGCCATCTTGAGCGTCTTGGAGGCCTTTTGGGCAGTCTTGGGGGCCTCCTGGGGCCGTCTTGGGCGATCTTCGGAGGCACTTGGGTCGTCTAGGGCCGTCGGAAGGCAGAAAACAAATAAATGCCACAATCCTTTTAAAAACCAAAGGGAAATCAATGATTTTGGCCTTTGGGGGCCTTCCTGGGGGCCCTCTTGGAGGTCTCTTGGGCCGTCTTAGGCCATCTTAGTGCCATCCTCGGCCGTCTTGGTGGGCCCCTGGCCCGTCCGACGCCGTCGGAAACCGTTTGGTGGGCCTCTCTGAGCCGACTCGGGGCCCTCTTGAAATGCTCCAGGGCAGTCTTGGAGGCCATCTTGGGCGTCTTAAAGGCCTCCTGGCCCGTCTTGGGGGCCTCTTGGGGCCGTCTTGGGGGGCTTTAGAGCCGTTCTGGGGCCATCTTGGAAGCCTCTTGGGCGATCTTTGGGCGATCTTTGGGGGCTCTTGGGCTGTCTCGGGCCGTCGGAAGGCCAAAACGAAGCAAACGTCAAAATCCTTAAAAAAAACATTATGCTAACGGAGTTCCCCACATAATGATGTTTTTGGGCTAGCGGGATCAAGCAACATTTTGTAGAGAAATTGCCGACCTGCCCTCGCCCTCTCCATCCTTTTCTATCACGTGGTGATGCGAATACCCTCCTCGCTCAGGCGGGGCCTCCCTGGAGGGGTGGGAGGGGCACGAAACCTGATAAATAACAGGTGATGCGAATACCCTCCTCGCTCAGGCGGGGCCTCCCTGGAGGGGTGGGAGGGGCACGAAACCTGAGAAATAACAGGTGATGCGAATACCCTCCTCGCTCAGGCGGGGCCTCCCTGGAGGGGTGGGAGGGGCACGAAACCTGATAAATAACAGGTGATGCGAATACCCTCCTCGCTCAGGCGGGGCCTCCCTGGAGGGGTGGGAGGGGCACGAAACCTGATAAATAACAGGTGATGCGAATACCCTCCTCGCTCAGGCGGGGCCTCCCTGGAGGGGTGGGAGGGGCACGAAACCTGATAAATAACAGGTGATTCGAATACCCTCCTCGCTCAGGCGGGGCCTCCCTGGAGGGGTGGGAGGGGCACGAAACCTGAGAAATAACAGGTGATGCGAATACCCTCCTCGCTCAGGCGGGGCCTCCCTGGAGGGGTGGGAGGGGCACGAAACCTGATAAATAACAGGTGATGCGAATACCCTCCTCGCTCAGGCGGGGCCTCCCTGGAGGGGTGGGAGGGGCACGAAACCTGATAAATAACAGGTGATGCGAATACCCTCCTCGCTCAGGCGGGGCCTCCCTGGAGGGGTGGGAGGGGCACGAGACCTGAGAAATAACAGGTGATGCGAATACCCTCCTCGCTCAGGCGGGGCCTCCCTGGAGGTATGGTATTGGTATGGTATGGTATGGTATTGATATGGTATGGCTTGGTATGGCTTGGTATGGTATTGGTATGGTAAGGTATTGGTATGGTATGGCTTGGTATGGTATGGTTTAGGAGAAGGACGCGGGAGAGGGTGTTCTGGGAAAACAAGAACCCCACTCAGGATGTGGGGAATTAGAAACATCAATGTTTTGGGAATTTGTTTCTGGCCTTCCTGGAGGCCCTCTTGGAGGCCTCTTGGACCGTCTTGGGCCAGCTTCGAGCCAACTTCGACCATCTTGGTGGGCTCCTGGCCCGTCGGACGCCGTCGGAAGCCGTTTGGGGGGTCTGTCTGGGCCGACAGGGGGCGGCGGATCGAAGACGCCCACGGCGAATCACCGCCGCCCCCTGACTTTGCGGGAGCGCCTATGTGGCCGAACGTTGAGGCCAGACCTAATCGGTTTGGAAAGTTTTCGGGGAACACGTGGGCATCTTGAAGGTCATCTTGGCCGTCTGGAGGCCATTTTGACCCTTTCGGGCCTTCTTGGAGGACGTCTTGGAGGGCTCTTGGGCCGTCTTGGAGGCCATCTTGAGCGTCTTGGAGACCTCTTGGGCCGTCTTGGGGGCCTCTTGGGGCCGTGTCTTGGGCCTCTGGGGGGATCTTTGGGGGCACTTGGGCCGTCTCGGGCCGTCGGAAGGCAGAAAACAAACAAATGCCACAATCCTTCAAAAACCCATGGGAAAGCAATGATTTGGGCCTTTTCGGGCCTTCCTGGAGGCCCTCTTGGAGGCCTCTTGGGCCGTCTTGGGCCATCGTAGGGCCATGTTCGGCCGTCTTGGTGGGCTCCTGGTCCGTCTGACGCCGTCGGAAGCCGTTTGGGGGGGCCTCTATGGGCCGACTGGGGGCCCTCTTGACATGCTCCAGGGCCGTCTTGGAGGCCCATCTTGGGCGTCTTAAAGGCCTCCTGTGCCGTCTTGGGGGCCCCTTGGGGCCGTCTTGGGCCGTTCTGGGGCCATCTTGGAGGCCTCTTGGGCGATCTTTCGAAGATCTTCGGGGGCTCTTGGGCCGTTTCGGGACGTCGGAAGGCCAAAACGAAGCACATATCAAAATCCTTCAAAAACCTTAGGAAAATCAATGTTTTGGCCTCTTCTGGCCTTCCTGGAGGCCCTCTTGGAGGCCTCTTGGGCCGTCTTGGGCCAGCTTCGAGCCAACTTCGGCCATCTTGGTGGGTTCCTGGCACGTCTGACGCCGTCGGGAGCCGTCTTGGGGGTCTTTCTGGGCCGACTTGGGGCCCTCTTGGGGCGCTTCGGGCCCTTCTTGGAGGCCGGATCGTGGCTCCAGGGGCGCGAATGTGGCGTTATTTGCTGAGGATCGTCGCCTCGGGGGCGCGAACGTGGCGTAATTTAGAAGGGATCGTGGCCTCGGGGGCGCGAACGTGGTGCAATTTACTAAGGATTGCGGGCGTGAGCGTGGCGGAATTTACAAGGGATCGTGGCCCCAGAGGCGCGAACGTAGTGTAACTTGCAAGAGATTGTGGCCTCGGGGGCGCGAATATTTTGCATTTTGCGAGGGATGCAAATGTGGTGCAATTTTACAGATCGTGGCCTCGAGGGCGCGAATACAGCTTTATTTACAAGGGATTATTGCGTCGAAAGCGCGAATGTCATGTATTTTTACATGTCCCACGGCCCCGCAGGAATTCAGAGCACGCGATTCGGGGGTGGTAGGTCCTTTTCGGCTCCCCCCCGCGCGGACTTCAAAAATTTACAGCATGAAGCAGAAAGCAGGACTGCAACATTTGAGACTCGAAACTGCAACTGGCACAGGGAACAGCAAGCCTAACCCTCGCAGCCTGATGGCCCCACAAGGGGGCCAGCGGATCCCGGCGACGCGATGCATCACCGATGCATCGGTGAGGCGGTGCGATCTTCTGGCCCCACTTGCTCGGACCCCATCTGGACAGCCTCAAGCGAGGTGAGGCCAGCGATCGCCGAGCTCTTCGGTTCGAGCTCTCCGTCCCGACTGATCAACCCAGCGCCCTGGGTCTCAGCTTTCCCTTCGCCGAGCCCCCCGAGCCTTCCTGCCACCCCCGCCTGATGACCCTGTCGACCGGCCTGGTTTCGCACCCCGTGTAGCGGTGTGGCTGAAGCAGGTCAATATTTCGGCGGCGAGCTTGGGGGGGAAGTGAGAGGCTCGAAAGGCTTCCAACCAGATCTGAGAAGTCCCACAAGCCCTCTGGGCGCAGGTGGTCTAAGGATGACTTTCTTTCCTCCTCCAAAAACCCTTCTTCCCCTTTGGGGAGGGGTTTACCACTGTTCCCTATTAATACACACCCCCTCCCCCAGGCGACCGGGAGCCAACCAGGGACAATGAGGGCCCCCCCACCATCCCTTGTAAAAAAAGAACAATACAAACACACACTCTGCCTCCAAATCCGGAGCATGCGCAGCCAACCCGATGCGGCCTCCCTCCACCATCCCTGTCAAAAAACAACACAGAGTATACTTGGCGGCGGCGGCAGCTGCGGCGGCTGCGGCGGGGGCAGCGGCTGCGGCGGCTGCGGCGGTGGCGGCGGCGGCGGCGGCGGCGGTGGCGGCGGCGGCGGTGGCAGCGGTGGCGGCAGCGGCTGCGGCGGCAGCGGCTGCGGCGGCGGCGATTCGGCAGCGGGTGCGACGGCGGCGGCGGCGGCGGCGCGGCGGGCTGCGCGGCGGCGGCGGCGGACGGCGGCGGCGGCGGGCGGCGCGCGGCGGCGGCGGCGGCGGCGGACAGCGGCAGTGGCGGCGACGGCGCCGCGGCGGCGGCGGCGGCGCGGCGGGCGGCGGCGGCGGCGGAGGCGGCGGCGGCGGCGGCGGCGGCGGCGGATTCGCCCCCAGTAGATGCCCATCCAAAGACGACTGCCGATTATGCTGCGGCTCGGGCCAGGCTCGGGTGCTACGTATGTGTTGGGAGGGCGGGTGGGAGTGAGCGAGACGGCTTGCGGGCGGGGAGGGAGTCTTGACCCTTCCCCCTATTCCCTCCCCTGGACCTGGACGGGGGGGGCCGCGACGCGTTGGAGCGTCCAAGATCGGCCCCTGGGAGGGCAAATTTTTGATACCTTTTCACGAGGATCGTGGCCCCCGAGGGGGGGGCCTCGATCGGGATCCTCCCTCCTTTGGTCGATAACCTCGAAGATAGCCCCAAGAGGCGCTCCAAGGCTCCCAGAAGAAACCTAGAGAGCCCCAAGAGGGCCCCAAGAGGGTCCCAAGAGGGCCCCAAGAGGCACCCGAGAGGCCCCGAAGAGGCCCCCGAGTAGTCTCAGAGAGCCCAAGATGACCTTCAAGACGGCTCAAATAGCCCAAACTGGCTCAAGGCGGCTCCCAAGATGATCCCAACGGCCCCAAAACCGCTACAAGAGCGCCCAAATGCGCTCCAAGAGAGCCCCGGGAAGCGGTTTGCCGCCTCCCGAAAAGGGGGGGGCTTAGTTGGGGACCCCCCCATAGTGTAATCGATGGCCTCCAAGATGGTCCCAAGAAGCCTTTCAGGGTTACCAAAAGGGTTCGAAGAGGGCCCCCACAATTCCCAGAGAGCACCAACAACAGCAGCAGCAGCCGCAAGAATACTTCCAGATGGTTCCATGAGTCCTCGTCTGCGTCGTCCTCATCCTAGTCCTCGTCATCCTCGTCTTCGTCCTCATCCTAGTCCTCCTCGTCCTCGTCCTCCTCCTCCTTTTCCTCTTCCTCCTCCTCCTCCACCTCCTCTCCTCCTCGTCCCCTCGCCCCCACGCGGCACCCAGGGATGGCCCGACGAGGCCTTCCAAGGCAACCCCCTTGCTCGCTTTGTTTCCCTCGATGTGTCTCTTCGTCTCTTTTCCCGTCAGCTCTGAAGGGCCGGGTTTCTGGATGGGTTGGTGGGGACACGCGAAGCGTGAAGATTTTCTAAACCGTCTCCGAAGACAGAGACGCTTCCCCCCCGCGCCCGCCGCCGAGAAACAGGTCAAACCTGTACACTCGAGCGTCGGGAGCGGTGGACGGACCCGGCCCTGCGGTTGCCTTTAGGGCTTCGGCGGGCCGCATGCGTGGGACTGCCGCTGGGAGGCGAAAAATGCGTGCCACCCGCCTGTTGGTGCGGTGCCGCCGATGCTTCTCTGCTCACGGGGGTGCAGAAAGGGTGCGCCTCGCCCCTATCACCCTATCCCTTTTTCAGTTTTTCCCGTCCATCCTGTGGTGTTGGGTCCTCGTTTTGAAGAGACAGCGCCCCGCGTCCCACCTCCTCCTCCCTCCTCCTCCCGTCCCTGCCTCTGCCCTCCACATGTTCTCGTCGTTGTAGTCATCACCGTCGCCCGACATTGCGCTTCGTGGCCCCAGAGGGAGCTCCACCGAAGGTCCCAGTGGCGCAGTTCGCATGCTTCTCCCCCACACAGTACAGCGTTCCGTGGCCCCAGAGGGGAGCTCCACCGAAGGTCCCAGTGGCGCAGTTCGCATGCGCCTCCCCCATCCAGTACAGCGCTTCGTGGCCCCAGGGGGAGCTCCACCGAAGGTCCCAGTGGCGCAGTTCGCATGCGTCTCCCCCACACAGTACAGCGTTTCGTGGCCCCAGAAGGGGCTCCACCGAAGGTCCCAGTGGCGCAGTTCGCATGCGTTTCCCCGCCCAGTACAGCGCTTCGTGGTCCCAGGGTAATTCCAGCAACGGCCCCACTGGCGCAGTTCGCACGCGTCTCCCCCGCCCAGTACAGCGCTTCGTGGCCCCATAGGGAGCTTCACCGAAGGGCCCAGTGGCGCAGTTCGATTGCGTGTACAGCGTTTCGTGGCCCCATAAGGAGCTACATCGAAGGTCCCAGTGGCGCAGTTCGCATGTGGCTCCCCCACCCAGTACAGCGCTTCGTGGCCCCATAGTGAGCTCCACCGAAGGTCCCTGTGGCGCTGTTCGCATGCGTCCTCCCACCCATTACAGCGTTTCGTGGCCCCAGAGGGGGCTCCTCCGAAGGCCCAGTGGCAAAGTTCGCATGCGTCTCTCCCACCGAGTACAGAGCGCTTCGTGACCCCAGAGGGAGCTCCACCGAAGGTCCCAGTGGCGCAGTTCGCATGCTTCTCCCCCACCCAGTACAGCGCTCCGTGGCCCATAGGGAGCTTCACCGATGATCCCCGTGACGCAGTTCGCATGCGTCTTCCCCGCCCAGTACAGCGCTCCGTGGCCACAGAGGGAACTCCAGCAACGGCCCCAGTGGTGCAGTTCGCACGCGTCCCCACCCCCCACCCCGCTCAGTACAGTGCTTCGTGGCCCCAGTGGGAGCTCCACCGAAGGTCCCAGTGGCGCAGTTCGCATGTGGCTCCCCCACCCAGTACAGCGCTTCGTGGCCCCATAGAGAGCTCCACCGAAGGTCCCAGTGGCGCAGTTCGCATGCGTCTTGCGTCTCCGGTACAGCGCGTCGTGGCCCCATGGGGGGAATTCACCAAAGGGCCCAGTGGCGCAGTTCGCACGCGTCTCCCCCATCCAGTACAGCGCTCCATTACCCCAGTGGGAGCTCCACCGAAGGTCCCAGTGGCGCAGTTCGCACGCGTCTCCCCTACCCAGTACAGCGCTCCGTGGCCCCATAGGGAGCTCCACCGACGGTCCCAATGGCGCAGTTCGCATGTGGCTCCCCCACCCAGTACAGCGTTCCGTGGCCCCATAGAGAGCTCCACCGAAAGTCCGTGTGGCGTTGTTCGCATGCGTCCTCCCATCCATGCAGCGCTTCGTGGCCCCATGGGGGCTCCACCGAAGCCCCAGTGGCAAAGTTCGCATGCGTCTCCCCCGCCCAGTACAGGTTTTCGTTGCCCATACGAAGCTCCACGGAAGACGGTACCCACAAGCACGGTACTCACAATTGTATATGGTTGGGTTCTTCGCCATGCTAATTTACATTGGGTCCGTTCGACCGCGGCATGGGTGAGGCCATCGCCCTTCTTGCCATTCACACGCGTCCCATCACGCCCTGAGAGGTGGGCCCAGCTGGCGCTTATACCCCGCGGGCTGGACAGACCACCCTTGTCCGAATCGGTGCGATCTCCCCCGCCCCCCCCCCCCGTACCTTTGCCCTCTTCCTTCACCCCCCTCCCACCGCAGCCGCCCTGGCCCAGATCCATGCCGCGGAGCGCCGTGACGCTGGCATCTCTGGTCTCTTTCCCCCCGGGGCCTCCGACGTTGTGATTCCTTCGTGACGTGAGCTCCCCTTCCTGGGAACCAGGTTTCCAGCCCGAGCTGCTTTTTAGTTCGATGGTCTTCAGGACGTGTGCCCGACGCAAACAAACGGGGCCGTCTGCACGCACTTTTACGCACAAGCTGGCCGCGCAAGGTGGCGCGTGAGCGCCCTCGTTTCCCATGTGGCGGGCCGCGCCAGCGGCCCGCGTAAGCCACCGCGTAAGGTCGCTATGACATCTCGTGTGAGGCCCGATTATGTTCGTCGTGTATGTGTGTGTGTGAGAGTGAGTGAGTGAGTGAGTGAGTGAGTGAGTGAGTGAGTGAGTGAGTGAGTGTATGTGTGTGTGTGTATGTGTGTGTATGTGTGTGTGTGTGTGTGTGTTGGTCCCGTTCAGCTCCCCTAACCCGTGTCGGCCCTCGTTGCGATGGTTGCGTTGTGTTGAAGGGCTTCGGTGGGCGAGGGCACCTGCACGCCAGCACACGCTCTGAGGACCTCCGACCATGCGCCACGGGGCCCAGGGCGGGCCCAGGAGGGCATACACGCCAGTCTTGGGCCCAGGCTGGGCTCGGCCAGGGTCGGTGATGTGGCCAGTCGGAGCCCTCCGAGCCGCGGAAGAACCCCTTGGCAGGGAGCGGGTCACGGCCCTGTCATCTTGGCGTTGCAGTGTTTGCATCGCCGGCGATCTTGCCTCTCATCGGTCCTGCTCGAAGCATGCAGCAGCGACAATGTCTTTCGCTCTTGCTTGTTCCAACCGTCCTGTGGTGTTGCGTCCTCGTTTTCAAGAGACAAGCCCCGCGCCCCTCTCCTCCTCCCCCGCCTCCTCCTGCTCCTCCTCCTCCTCCTCCTCCTCCTCCCCCTCATTTTCCTCCCCCGCCTCCGTCCTCCCCCTCGTTCCCTATGCCCTCCTCGTCGACATCATCATCGTCATCGTCGTCGTCATCATCATCATCATCATCATCATCATCATCATCATCAGCATCAGCATCAGCATCAGCATCAGCGTCAGCATATTCGGTCTCTGCTGCTCAGAAAGGGTTTGTACAAAAACGCAATATGCTCGACCACATACTCGAGATGGAGTCACAGTTGGCAGATTTCTTCTCCTTCCAAGACTGTCAGCGGGCAGGGCTTTTCCTGCTCGATATTGCTGCTGCGTTCCCGTCGCTCGATCACGACTAGATCTTCGACTGCCTGTCGGAGCTAGGCGTGCCGAGGTACGTTCTGTTTGCCATCAGCGAGCTATATAAGAATGTGGTCACAGAGGTCGTTCTCCGTGTGCAGGTTCTCGAAGGCTTCCGAATTCTCCGTGGGGTGAAACAAGGCTGTCCGATGAGCGGGGTGAAATTCGCTTTATGTTTCGACCCTCTGGTCCGTCATCTGGAAAAGGCCTTGCGACCACATCCAGGTAGGCCGTTTGCGTTTGCCGACGACATTGGTGTGCCCTCTAAGGATTTGCTGGTGTCAATCCCGCTGGTAATGCGCCTCATGATGAAGGCGGCCTGGGCTACAGGTCTTTTGATACATCCGAAGAAGTACATCATCGTTTGACCATCCACATGTTCCAGGGAGTCGGGCTGAACTTTTCGCTGTTCCAGGTATGTGGATGTGTTTCTAGGGCCTGGCGGGCCCGAGCGCAGCTGGACAGGTCCCCTTCGGAAGCTTCATTCGTGGTTTAGTCCTGGGTCTTACTCAGAATATTTGCGCCTGCAACACGTTTGGGTTTCCTCTGTTCAGCGTTCCTGCTCAGTTTCTTCCTGCGCCTGCTGCTGTTCTTCGTGCTGAGCGTGAGGCTCATCCGTTTCTCACGGCAGGCCCGCAGTGGGCCGTGCCCGCGTTCGTGCTGGCGCACACCGACAAGATCGGCTTGCCTGTCCAGTTCGGCTCCGCCACCTTGGAAAATCAAGCAGTTATGCATCGAATGCGTCTTCGGCCAGAGGCCTCCCCACGAGTATACGATCGCTGGCACGAGCTCCGAGATGTTGAAGTGGACCGTCTTGCAGTGCCTCGTAGGGCTGATTGGGTTCGTGAGTCCATCACGGGGTCCCTGTGCACTTTGTTCGAACGCTTGCAGGCCATCCCTCAGATCCCTTCGGACCCCGACATGACCCTTCTCCAGGAGCGGACCCACATGATGCTCAAGTTGCGGGACTCCATGCGTTGGCCCTCCGTCTCAGTCGTTCTTATCCTTAGGCTTAGAAAGTTTTGGCCCGACATACAGGTATGGTATTCTGACCAGGTTTCCCATTAATTAAAAACTGTTGAGAATATCTTCCCCTTCGTTTGTGCCGCTTATATTAGATCTATTTGCAACGGGTGGTGCACTTCCGCCCGATATAATCAAGGCCGTCAGGTGTGCCGATTTGGATGTACCGCGATGGGAGGCGACCATGTCTTGCATTATTTATCGTGCCCGCTGCTGCTAGCTCAGCTACCTCGTCTCCTTCCTGGTCTTCCCAGAGATTATGTCGCGTGGTCGCCCGAAGATAGACTGCTGCTTTGCCTTCGGCCTTCCTTGGGGGGTGTCGCTCTCAGATATGCCCTGCTCGTGCACGACCTTGCACTTTCAGCGTTCAGTTTGCTCCGAGCCCACAGGAGATGGGGACAAGAGGCTCTCTCGACTCTTCTCGCCGCGAGGGCTCGCGCCATCGCGAAGAAGAGGAGGGCGGCGCGTGCTTTTTTTGTTTTAATCGACCATACCACTGAGGAACGACTTGGTCTTGCGCATCAGCATCATCGTCATCATCATACTCATCATCATCATCATCATGATCATCATCTTCATTATCACCAACATCATCATCATCAGCCTCGTCGTCATCATCGTTGTCATCATCAACAACATCATCATCAACAACAACATCGTCACCATCATCATTAGCAGCGTCATCATATTCATCGTACTCATCACCACCATCACCATCACCATCATCCTCATCATAATCAGCACCAATATCATCATCGTCATCGTCACCGTCACAATCAGCATCGCCATCACGACCACCAGCATCATCAGTATCATTCACATGATCAACGAGACGAAAGTGAAACATGGACGAAACATCAAGAACATATTTTCGCTGCTATCTTAGAAACTCACATTCGCACCAATGCACGGGAAGCCCGCAAAGATCCCCATTGGTATTCCGCCGGCGAAGGAACGACGCAAGCACAACACTTCTCGATTGGAGTCGGTTTTATAATTTACAAACAACAGTAAATACGCAAAAGACAGTCCCGGTGTCAGACCGAATCATCGTGCTGGAGCTGAGGCAACAGGCAACGCAATTCACGCTCATGGGCGTCTACGCGCCGACTGCCACGCGCCCAGAGTCCGAGGAAGTTTTTTTTTTTTTTTTTTTACGTTGACGTCGCTCGCATATAGAACCGCTTTTCAAAAAGGACCGACGTTGATTTTAGCGGGCTTCAATGCTCGAATACACGTCGCTGTAGAAGACGCAGTACGAACCGTGGTCGGCCAGCACACGTTCGACCCAGAGCACGCCAACACGCTCCAGCGCCACCCAGATTCGGTGTACGACAGGCAGTGCGTTCTAAGTTTTTGCGTGAACCGCGACCTCATTCTCACCAACACGCAACGTCGCAAACGGCCAAAAAATTGGCCACTCGGAGAACCTGGAGCCACGTTCTCTAGCCCATGCGCCCGGTAGTGACGCGAAGTAATGCATGTTATCTGCGTTGGCAGGAGATGGAGACGAGCATTTGTCGACTGCGAAGATGACCATCTCGTGAATATCCACTCGGACCACAGACCGCTACAGGCCACGTCATGCGTCGGCCTCAACAAGGGCCTTGCGATTTCGAAAAACCCGCGGCCGAAGTATTTACCTTGCGCGCAAGAACAAGCCGAGATATTCAACGACCGAGTACCATGGCCAATCGCGACAGCGAGTGGCGCAACCACCGCGGCGACTGTCCAAACAGCCTTGGCGGGCGCTTCGCTTTCCAGCCTCCTGAGAGCGCCGCGCAAGCCGGAGCAACCGAACATATAGGACATACACGCGCGTAGGTTGCTAACCACCGAATTCCGAAAGAAAAAAGATAACGCGACAGACGAGAGTATATCATTAAAGCCTCGAGCAGAGACCTCGACACCAGGGGCGTTTCGTTGGGCATTCGTCAGCTCAAGAAAGGCTATGTAGCTAAACCGTATAACTTCAAAGAATGCAGAAGGCAAACATGTACCAAAATGCCAGATGGCAGAAAAGGCCGCCAAAAATTTGGCCAACCAGCTATGGAAGGCGACAGACTCCGCCCCTGGCGCGGCGTTGCCACGCTCAAAGATAGTGCATCAGCTCTTGCCCTACAAAACAGGGGGTATTGCCTTGTCAGAGGCGCGAGCGGTGTTAACGACATACGAGCGACGCAAGGCTCCTGGGCCGGATAACATCCCAATGGAAGCCTCGAAAGTCTGACGACAACAACTTGTTCAAACGTGTCGAACTGCTCAACAGGTGGTGGCATTCTGAAGTAATGCATGCACTCGTGGCATTTATTTTCGAAAAGGGAGACGCCAGCAAACTTGACAACGACAAACCGATCGCGTTACTCAGCAGCGCCTATAAGTTATTCGCCGCAATCTTACATACTCGCATAGAGAAACACGTAGACCCATACGTTCAATCCACGGGGTTTGGCTTCCGACGGCGTCAGAGCACAATGCGCGCCATACACTGCGTGCCCGGTCCGCGGAGATGGGCGAAGCGGCTAACAGGCAAGTGTTGACGGTTCTGCTCGGTTGGAAAATATTGTTTGATAAGGTGACGAGCGAGAGTCTTTGGAACGCTATGGACCGCATGAATGTGCATCCCAATCAAAGCAGTGCAAAGCATTCGCCGCTTCACGCAGTCCAAGGTCGAAATGGAAGGACCGGAGTCGTCGCGGTACGATCAACAGACTGGCATAAGTCAAGTCTGCCCCTCATCACGGTACCAATTCTTGCTTGCCGTGACAGCTTTCTTCCGTGATGTCCGGAGCAACGGTGACCGCCATTTCGGCCCACATCGCCTGCCTGAGGTGAACTTTGACGCTGTCTTGTACGCTGACGATACCATCAGCATATCGCAAAACACAAGAACCATGAGCAAGTGGCTAAAAACCATCGACGATGAAAGTGCCTACTATGGCCTCCGACTCCACAAAACCAGACGCGAAGTGATCCACACCAGGCGCTCCCGTCCACACATCGATTTCGCTAGTGGGAATCCAGTTGAAGCAAAAACGGAAGTCAAATATTTGGGGGTGCGTGATTAATAACAAGACCGACACCACCAAACAAAATAAACGCCCGCATCTCTCAAGTGCTCGCTACGATGAACAAACTCAACACTTTTTGGTTGCACAGCGACTGGCCCCGTGGGGAGTTCCATTGAAGGTCCACGCGGCAGGGTCCGCATGAGGTGCCCGCACCCGATTCGGCACACCCTTCACACGCTTCGTGGACCCATCGGGAGCTCCACCGTAGGCGTCAGCGGCAGGGTCCTCATGGCTTACCCGCACCCAATTTGTCACAATCCTCACACGCTTCGCGGCCCCATCGGGAGCTCCAACGAAGGCCCCAGCGGCAGGGTCCGCATGGAGTAGACGCACCCGATTCGGCACGCCCCTCACACGCGTCGCGGGCCCATCGAGGGCCCCACCACAGGCCCAAACGGCAGGGTCCTCATGGCGTACCCGCATACGATTACACGCTTCGTGGCCCCATCGGGAGCTCCACCGAAGACCCCAGCGGCAGGGCCCGCATGGCGTACCCGCGTCCGATTCGGCACACACCCCTCACACGCTTCGTGGCCCCATCGGGAGCCCCACCACAGGCCCCAACGGCAGGGTCCGCATTGCGTACCCGCGTCCGATTCGGCACGCCACGTCTCGTGGCCCCGTAGGGAGCTCCACTGAAGGCCCCAGCGGCAGGGCCCGCATGGCGCACCCGCACCCGATTTCACCCTCACGCGCTTCGTAACCCCATAGGGAGCTCCAGTGACAGCCCCAGCGGCAGTGCCCGCATGGCGTACCCGCACTGGATTCGACACACCATTCATTCGCTGATTGGCCCCATAGGGAGCTCCACCGAAGGCCCCAACAGCAGGGCCCGCATGGCGTAGCCGCACCCGGTTCGGCACACCCCTCACACGCTGCGTCGGCGTATACGGAGCCCCACCGAAGGCCCCAGCGGCAGGGTCCGCATGGCGTTCCCGCGTCCGATTCGGCACGTTCTTCACACGCTGCTGGGCACCATAGGGAGCTCCGCCGAAGGCCCCAGCGGCGGGGTCCGCATGGCGTACCCGCCCCCGATTCGGCACACACCTGACACGTCTCGTGGCCCCGAAAGGGGGCCCCACCGAAGGCTCCAGCGGCAGGGTCCGCATGACATTCTCGCAACCGATTCAGTACACTCCTCACACGTCCTCGTTGCCCCATGGGGAGCTCCACCGAAGGCCCCAGCGGCAGGGCCCGCATGGCGTACCCAAATCCGATTCGGCACACCCTCTCCCACGTTTCGTAGCCTTCCACCGAAGACCCAACAGCAGTCCGCATGGCGTACCCGTCGGTACACCCCTCACACGCTTCGTGGACCCATCGGGAGGTCCACCGAAGGCCCCAGCGGCAGGGCCTCCATGGCGCTCCCGCATACGATCCGGCACGCCCCTCACACGCTTCGTGGCCCCATAAGGAGCTTCACCGAAGGCCCCAACGGCAGGGCCCGCATGGCGTAGCCGCGCCCGATTCGGCTCACCATTCACACGTGTTGTGGCCCCGAAGGGAGCACCGAAGGCCCCAGCGGCAGGGTCCGCATGGCGCACCCACCCCGTGTCGGCACACTCTTCACTCCCCCCTTGTGCTTATTTTCGTCTGCGTCGCGGTACCCGCAGCTTCACATGGTTGGGCTCTTCGCCAGGATCATTGTTCGCAATCTCGGGTTTCAGGGGAGACAGGACAGCTTGTTTGTTCCGGGCGAGAACGGGCGTTGCCACGACGGGGTGGGAGGGGGGCGGTGACGCCACGTTTCGCGCTGGGTGCCGTCTGGGAGTCCTCTGAGGACTCACCGAGCCCGGAGGTCGGCAAGCCTCGCGATGTGACTTTGGGGGGGCAGCGGGGCAGCCAGGGCCGTCGACGGCCGCTGCAGCCGGGGCTGATGGGAGGGGAAGACGCGAGAGGGCACGGGACACAATGCAGTCGACCCGCACAGGAAGGGTAGGCATCCCTTCCAAGGGTACCCTTGCATCCTTGCTTCCTGGGTCCATCCTTGGGCACTTTCGTTGGCCGCGCCCCGCTCGAGACGCTTCGACATGGGCGTCCAAGGTTCTTGCATCCTCATCGTGCATCCTTGTTCTACGGGTTGACTGTACCCTTCCGAGGGCCACGCTGCCACAGGGACGCAGAAGGCATGGGCCGCGAAGCGCGGGAAACACGAGGGAACCCTGGCTGGGCAGGCAGGGTGGGCCTCCCGGTCGGCCTCGGCTGCATCGCGGAATAGACAATTCGGGCATGGCCAGGACCCCAGGTGAGGGGATCCGGCTAGTGGTAGGGCCCCGGGGCCCCTGCATTGGCCAGAATCACTGAACCAGGTTTGCCGCAGCTGGTGCTTTCTCGGGCGGTGGCAGGTCCGGTTCGTGGGACGGGGCGGGGGAGGGGGCGTCCCCCCCAGCACACATCTCTAAACGGGGTCCCACTAAACCTGGTTTTGCCAACGCCCGAACAAAATTCGAAGGTGGATAGACCTCCTACCCTGACACGCCGATGGAGGAATTGGCCGTTCTCGGTTCGCGAGAGGGCGTCGCGGCCGTCATTTTTGCGGCTCCAGGTCCGACGGTTTCGGTCCCAGGCCGTTTTCACTAAGGGGAGGTTTACGAAAGGGAGGTGTTGAATGCCCCCTCAGTCTTGCTGCCCTGGCTTTGCACCGACGCCTGACGACGTGACACGTGGTGAGTTGATCGTTGGTTGTCCGCGTCCCTCTCCTGCCCCCTGCTTTCCCTCTCTCAAAAAAAACGCACTCGAGAGCGCTGGGCATGGAGCAGACCACGGCCTCGGAGGTCCGGGAAGCTCCGTGGGCGCCACGGCCCCGCGGGGCGCCGCCGCCGTGGCGGCCCGGCCCCGCGGCCGGCGCTCGGCGCAGGGGCGCCGAGGGTCGCGCCGCGGCGGCTGCGCGATGCCCGCCTCCGCGAAGGAGGGCGCCTCCCAACTTCGGGGGCGGAAATCAGGGGGGTGATGACTAGGGGGGGTGGATATCATGGCGTGGGCCATGACATTTCCCCAGATCTCATGGCGCCTCTTCATATTTCATTACGTGCCTCGGCCCCCCCAGGGGCCGCGCACATGCCGCCGGCTATGATTTGCGCCCCTTCCTCTTGGACGCCCGCCTCTGGGACGCCCCCGACAACTGCAGCGTCCACTTTGGTCCGATTCGGTCCGATTCGATCTCGGTTCCCGGAGATGCTCGCGTCGTTGACAGAAAATGAGGCGGGGGGCCTGTCGTCGTTTTTGGCTCCGGGGGCCCTTGCCAGGCCCTGGGGCCGTCAAAGACCAGCTCAGGACGAAGAGCTGGTCCTGGGGAAGGGGTCGGGGCTTCTGGGGGTCAGCGTATTGAACAAGAACCAGGACGTCGCATGTCTGGGTTCTGGCAGTGTCGCTTCGATTCGATTTCGGTCTGCCAGCGATCCGGTGCCGGCCCAGTGCTCGCATGGCGCCGTTTTGCATCCCCGCGCAACCGATCCGATTCGATTCCGTGTCCGCACAAGCGCGGCCCGAGCCAATGCACGCGTTGCTTCCCCAAGTCGGTGCTGCGTGATCCTCCCCTGGTCGCCTGGGGACCTCCCCTCCTCGTGGGTTCGCAGACGGGGAGGTTTCCCCAAGGTTCAGGAGGGGAAAAAACACACTGACACAATTAATCGGCGATTCCCAGAAAATATGGGAAAATATGGGAAGTGGGGGGGAAGACAAAAACCCAGAAAATATGGGAAAACATGGTGGATATTTCTATGTGTGTGTATTTATTTGTGTGTCCCCCTTCAAAGGTGGGGTTGAGGAGCGAGCCCAGCTGGAGGTTTTTCTTTCCCTTCTTCAGAGGCCGACTCGCCCTGTGCCCCGGACTCTCTGCTCTCTCCTGCTCGTTCCTCGTTGTTTGACCTCCGGGGGCGCTGCTCGTCGCCATGGCTGGAAGCAGCTCGATAGATGGGTCAGGATGGTGGAAAGAGCGCCGTCTGCCGCTACTGGCCAGCACGCCCCTCAGTTCGAAGCTGGAGGGGGGAGAGGTAAAGTCGGCCCCCACCCTGAACCGGGGGGGGAAGGGGGGACGGCCCTTTCCCTTGCAGGGATTCGAACCTGAACAGAGGGCGGAAGGGCTAATTCTCCGTGCTTTGCCGGGCATCCTCGCCCGCTTCGCTGACAACAGGCGCAAACACAGTTCAAAGCAAGCTCAAAGCGAGCTCCAAAAGATCAAACAAAGCCGAAACAAAACTCAAGCAGAGCTCAAACAATGCTCAAACCCAATTTCACAATGCTCAAGCACAGCTCAAACAGAGCTCTAACAAATGTCAAACACAGATCCAACAAAGTTCAAACGAAGCTCAAATTGAGGATCGAGGCCTACATGAAGGATCTAGGCCTCAACCTCAGGTCCTAGGCGCGTTCCCTCGCTTCCGGGATACGCCTGTGCATCGCCGATCTCGGCGCCCAGGTCAATTGGGCCGAGGAAGCATCACGTGACAACTCCGTGCTGCGGGACCAGATGATAGCCAAATGCAGCGAACAAGCTGCCACGATTGCGCATGGTGTCATCCGTGCTTACAAAGATAAGAAAGGCCCACTGTCGGCTCAGCCGATGATGCGGACCGTGTGGATGTCGACGACGACGGAAGATCAACGATTGGCAGGACCGATCAAATAAGCATGGTAGGCATCGAGGCCGCGGCCAGCTCAGCCGGTGGCGCTGCCTCGGCGGGCAAGGCCAATCCGTTCAGCATGCCCATGCTCGGGGCCGCTGCTGACCCAGTCAGTCAGCGGTGGTGCCTCGGCATCGGGTAGGGCCATGCCAACAGACGATGCTCATACTGCGGCTGCTGGCTCAGCCGGTAGCCGGCGTCTGACTCCCAACTTGCCTCCTCCGCCACCGGCGCCGCCTAATCGCCGGACGTCGTCTCCGAACAGATCTGCTCCAAGGAGCTCAGGAGGTTCGCCGCCGCCTACGGCCAGGCGCGCCGCAGACATCTGTGTCAGTGACGAAGCATTCCCAGTGGAAGGACCGTCAGTTACCACGGCGCCCGCGGCATTTTTTGAGATGAACTGGAGAGGTTGTGACATCCAGAGGGCGCATGACGATAGTGAGACTGGAAATTGGGACGCGAGCCAGCAATGCTATGCTGGAGACGGATGGTGGGTATACCGCGTGCATTCCAAGAAATGACAGTCGTGGAGTATCTACGGTTACAACCATCCTGACGGAAAACATTACGATGAGCTGGCGCGCTGTGTTATGTGTGGGATACGCGAGTCTGCTTCGGCCCGTTTCGAGGACTTGCCTGGAGTAGTTGTTATCCCGCCCCGTGCGCATTAAAAGCGTGCTTTCGGGTCGACTCCTGGGGGGGGCAATGCGCCCAGGGATCGCGCGAAGCCTGGCAACTCCGACGCGAGCTGTAGCTAGGCTTACGTATCCTGCCGCAGGGGGAGCTAATACAGCTCCGCCCCTGCCGTCGCTCTCCGCCGCCGCCCCGGGTCGTGTGGCCGCTGCTGGTCGTCGTTGCGTTGGCCGCAGCTGCTTGGGCAGCGAAGTGCGACAAGAACGCGCGCGCCCTCCCCTCTTTCGGGTATAGCCAGGACCCCGGGTAACGGGACCCGGTCAGTGGTAGGGCCTTGGGGCCCCTCAGTTAGCCAGATTCGCTAAACCAGGGTTGCCGTAACTTGTGTGTTTTCGGGTGACGGCAGTTCCGGTTAGCGGAACGGGGCGGGGGGGGGGCGGCCCCCGGTACACATCACTAAACCAGATTCCATTGATCCCAGTTCTGCCAACGCCCCACTCTTCCCTGGTCGGGCGCACACTTGTACTCATATAGACCAACCGTAGTCTCTGCTTCACGGGTAACATTGTTGTGCCATGTCGCCCATCAGTGTTCCAGCCGCGGAGAAAGCAGATCAAGGGACAAGATTTTAAGAAGAGCGTATACCAACGACCATGGCAAATACCTAAGTGATCGCGGGGCGCCCGCGCATGATCTGGATTTTGGTGCAACGTGCGCGTTGTATGGACCTTTGCAACTGATGACGCGTGTGGGGGGTGTTGGCATTGCACAGACACCCCCACCACCCTTGTCAAAAACAAATGCAAAGAGACGCCTAGCGTCGGCGCATGATCCAGCTTTCGGTGCAAAGTGCATTCGGTATTTTTGGGGGAAGGGATGGTGGGGGGGTGTTGGCCGTGTTCCAGGTTCGTCGCCGGTCGATTTGGGGAGAGAGAGTCTATTGATAGCGAATAGTGGCAAGGCCCTCCCTGAAGGGGACACAGCGGGATCGGAAGAGGAAATCCGCGAAGCCGCTCTCACGCCCATGGGGCGGGTCGTTTCCAGATGGCAGATGGCTCACGCTGTTTGGCCAGACCCCGGGCAGAGCGACAGCCTGCCTCGACGGTGGGAGCGACAGCCTGCCTCGACGGTGGAAAGTTCCTTTTGTCGGATGCATTCGACGGTCGCTCAGGACGGATGCCTGTTATGGGGCGTTTGGGAGCTTCCTCGCCGCCCGTGCACAAGGCCGCCCCGGCCGCCTTACGGGCGCCGTTCGCGGCCTGGCCGCCCCCGGGCTTCGCTACGGCGGGCGTTGCCGTTCTGATTCGCCTCCCTCCATCTCTTCCTCCTCCTCGCCTTCCTCCTCTCGACTACACGTAAGAGTGACCTTTCGCCGGAGTGACCTTTGGTGCGGGCGCAATTGGGTCCCCCGATCACCGATTGCGATGCGATAGTAGCTAGCGCCTTGCGCGCATGAATTTGGTCCCCCCGCGGCCCCCCAAAAGCCGCGCACCAAAGGTCACTCTTACCCAGGGTCACTCTTGCGTGTAGCCGATCCTCGTGCCGGGCGCGCCCGCTCCTCCCTCCTGCCCCGCAGGAGAGAGGCCAGGCGGCGCGGCGCCTGCTGGCCGTGGGCGGCGCCCTCGACGCCGGGCCGGGCCGGGCCGGCCCGAGGCGCAGCGGCCCCGAGCTCGAGGCTCAGGGGCAACGCTTGGGGGGCGGGCATCGGTTCGGAGGGGAGGACGCATCGTCCCATTCGGCCACGCGCAGAGGGGGGCACAGGGGGAGCGGGGAAGGCTTCCCAGAAGCATCCCTGCTTCTTGGCAAGAGCGGCCTCGTCTGTATTAGATGCAGGGCTGGCGCCTTCAGGAAGCAGCCTCCTTCTAAGAAGCCTTCGCCCCTCTTCCTCCTCCTCCTCCTTCTCCTCCTCCTCTTCCTCCTCCTCCTCCTTCTCCTCCTCCTCTTCCTCCTCTTCCTCCTTCTCCTCCTCCTCCTACTCCTCCTCCTTGCGTGCGCCGCCAACCCATGCATCGCCCACTGAGCCAGTCCCAACTCCCGGCAGTCAGGCCGCACAGCAAGGATGGGCAGTTTTTCAAGTCTACCTTTGCACCCCTGCCAGTTAGGCTCGTCCTTGGCGTCTTTACGCGGGCCGCGCCCCTCTCGAGAGGTGTCGGCATGGCCCTCCATGGCCCTTTAGTATGCGCCTCGACTGCAGCGCTGCCCCCGAGAGGTGGTCCCCGAGAGCCCCGCTGCTGCCCGCGGGGCCGCGGCCGCGGGAGGCGCCGCGGACGAGTGCTCCGACGGCGCCGCTCAGGGCAGGCGGCCGCCGCCGCTCTGCCCGGAGCTGGACGTCGACGTGCTGGAGAGGCCGCCACTCCTCCTCCGCCTCCTCCTCCTCCTCGTCCTCCTCCGCCTCCTCCTCCTCCTCCGCCGCCTCCGCCTCCACCTCCGCCTCTTCCTCCTCCTCCTCCGCCTTCACCTCCTCCTCCGCCTCCTCCTCCTCCTCCTCCTCCTCGTTCTCTTCCTCCTCCTTCTCCTCCTCCTCCTCCGCCGCCTCCGCCCTCCTCCTCCTCCTCCTCCGCCGCCTCCGCCTCCACCTCCGCCTCCTCCTCCTCCTCCGCCTCCACCTCCTCCTCCGCCTCCTCCTCCTCCTCCTCCTCCTCCTCGTCGTTCTCTTCCTCCTTCTCCTCCTCCTCCTCCTCCTCTCCTCCTCCTCCTCCTCCTCCTCCGCCGCCTCCGCCTCCGCCTCCGCCTCCGCGTCCCCCTCCTCCTCCTTCTCCTCCTCCTCGTCGTTCTTTTCCTTCTCCTCATCCTCCTCCTCCTCCTTCTCCTCCTCCTCCGCCGCCTCCGCCTCCACCTCCGCCTCCGCCTCCGCGTCCCCCTCCTCCTTTTCCTCCTCCTCCGCCTCCTCCTCCTCCTCGGCCTCTGCCTCCGCCTCCTCCGTCTCCGCCTCCCAGATGGGGTCGGAGCAGATGGGCTCGCAGAATCGCGCCGCATCGCCGATGCATCGCCGATGCGGCTCGATGTGGATGGAGCCCGATGTTCTCCACGTCGACGGCGCGGGGGCATCGCCGACGTCGCCGATGCGTCGCCGATGCAACGCCGATGCATCAGCGATTCGACGCGATCCTCCGACCCCATCTGCTCGTCCCCATCTAGCAGGCCTTCTAGCCACGGGCCAAGATTTCCAACAATATGATTCCCTCATTCGGCGGCGCGCTTAGGGGGCAAGTAGGAGGGGGCAGGCCTTCTCAAAAGGCGGCGGGCATTATCAGAAGCCATCGCGCCTCCTGAGAAGTCTTCTGTGTCCTCGAGGGAGGCTCAGAAAAGTTACAAGAAGGCCCGAGGCCTTCGGAGCCTTCTGAGGAGGCCCGCCCCCCTCTGACTTCCTCCCGAAGCACGCCCTCGACTAGCAGCGCGTCGCCGGAGGCGCCCAGTGGTTTCGAAGAAAAAGGCCGCAGAAGAGCCCCACAAAAAGGGGGAGGGGGGGCGGGGAGCCCAGGGTCGCCCCCCGAGGTCGTTTGGCCTGGCAGCCGTTTCGCCCGAGACTTCCTCACAATCCTCGGAGGTGGATCGACCTCCTACCCTGACACGTCGATTCATCCTCCATCCTCCTCCTCCTCCTCCTCCTCCTCCTCCTCCTCCTCCTCCTCCTCCTCCTCCTCCTCCTCCTCCTCCTCCTCCTCCTCTCCTCCTCCACCTCCTCCTCCTCCTCCTCCTCCTCCTCCTCCTCCTCCTCCGCCTCCTCCTCCTCCTCCTCCTCCTCCTCCTCCTCCTCCTCCTCCATCCTCCTCCTCCATCCTCCTCCTCCCTCCTCCTCCATCCTCCTCCTCCTCCTCCTCCCTCCTCCTCCTTCCTCCTCCTCCCTCCTTCTCCTCCTCCTCCTCCTCCTCCTCCTCCTCCTCCTCCTCCTCCTCCTCCTCCTCCTCCTCCATCCTCCATCCATCCTCCTCCTCCTCCTCCTCCTCCTCCTCCTCCTCCTCCTCCTCCTCCTCCTCCTGTCAGGGGTGGACAGACCTCCCACCCCGACACGTCGACTGAGGAATTGGCCGTTCTCGGTTCGCGAGAGGGCGTCGCGGCCGTCATTGTTGCGGGTCCTGGTCCGTCGGTATCGGTCCCAGGCCGCTTTCGCTAAGGGGAGGTTTACGAAAGGGAGGTGTGTCCACCGCCGAACAATTTGTGCTCACGAGTCCTGCTTTCGCCTCAGTGCCAGCTACATGTTTGGCCTGGACGGCCACGATACCTAGTAGCAACATGCACCAAGGTTCACATGGCCATGTCTCCACCTCCTAGTCCTCGACCCGCCTCTTCACCTTTGCTGCTATGAGGGTGCTCTGCAGGGGTATGCTTTTCTATCACGGCGTTTCTTCCTCGGTTTCGGCCCTCGGGGGGCTGGTTCGGGCCCCAGCACCAGCACAAATGGGTCGGGGACGTAAGACCATCCTTGTGGAAGCGGTCGGGACTTCCCAGACATGCCACGTCCCGACTTTTTCAGCACGGGGTCCCCAGAAGTCCCGACCCCTTCCCCATGACGGGCATGTCATCCTGAGACGTTGTTTGACGGTCCCAGGGTCTGGCGAGGGCCCACAGAGGTTGAAATCACCCCAGAGCGACCCTACCTAGAATTTGGAGTCCCCAGGAAAGCAGCATTAGTTGCTATGCTATGATGTGCTATGCCATGCCATGTTATGCTGCGCTATGTTATGCTATGCTATGCTATGCTGCGCTATACCATGCTATGTTATGATATGATAAGCTATGATATGGCATGCGGCGCGTTGCTATGCTAAGCTATGCTAAGTTATGCTAAGATATGCTAAGCTATGCTATGCTAAGCTACGCTATGCTATGGTATGCCATGATATGATATGATATGATATGATATGATATGATATGCAGCGTTATGTCATGCTATGGTTTGCTTGTCTGTGGTATGATATGATGTGCTAATGCAGCGCTGCGCTGTGCTAAGCTAAGCTAAGCTAAGTTAACCCGCTAGGCAGAGCCCAAGTAGGGAATTACACTCATGCTGCGCTATGCTACGCTATGCTTCGCTATGCTATGCTATGCTATGCTATGCTATGCTATGATATGCTGAGCTATGCTATCATATGCTATGCTATGCTATGCTATGTGCTGCGCTATGCTGTGTTATGCTATGCTATGCTATGCTATGCTGCGCTATGCCATGCTGGGCTATGCTATGATATGCTGCGCTATGCGATGCTACGCTCTGCTATGCTATGCTGTGCTCTGCTATGCTAAAGCTCGGTGAAGCTAAGATGAAGGTAAGCTAAGCTAAGACAGACCTGAGCTAAGATGAAGCTGAGCTGAGCTAAGATGAAATAAGCTAAGCTTAGATGAGATAAGCAACGCTAAGCTAAGGGGACGCAAATAGGGGAACCGCGGGGCGGGTCCTGGGGGAACCGCCCGGGCCGGTTTCCACTGCCCAGCCCCTTTAAGCTAGAGGGTAAGAACCCTTCCAGGCAGAGCCTAGGTAGGGAAAAAAAACGTCGTCGACATGTGTGGGTTTGGCCGCAGATTGATAAGATCACATTGGCGGATGTCTGCGCGGCGCAGAGCAGAGTCCCGAGAGAGAGAGGCGTGCTCCGAGGTCTTCGGCCGCCGCCCTCGGCCTCTTCGGGGGGGGCCCTTCCCGGGCACCCCGGGCCGCCAGCTAGCTTTCTTACAGGCTGAGGATCCAGGTCTGTGCACCTGTTTTTACGGCAATTCTTGGCATCGCTCGGACGTGTGCATTCTTTCTCGGCGAGAACCATCGAGGACCTTCCTAGACCATCGAGCGAAAAAAACACGCACGAAGCCAACAAAATAACGCGTCCAGATCTGTGTACCTGTTTTTATGGCAATTGGAGACAACCATTCATTGGGCTGAAAAACGCACAGCTGGGTTTTCATTGGGTTTCATTAGCCACTGGCTTTATGGCCAGTGGAGACATTAACCATTCATTGGGTTGAAAAAACGCACAGCTGGGTTTTCATTGGGTTTCATTAGCCACTGGCTCCGAACTTTCATTGGGCTGAAAAGCGCACAGCCGGGGGGACGGGAGGCCGCTCCCGGCGGCAGGCCCCCCCGGGGGCAACGGGAGCCGCCTCCCCTCCCGGGGCCCCTCCGTGGGTGGATTTTTTTGTTGGGAAGCTCATCCCCAGACCTCCTCGAGTCATGAAAAAATCACGACGGGAGGTTTTTCCCTATTTTCGGCCTCCGGGGGCCCTCACCGGGCCTCGGGAGCGTCAAAAAACGACTCAGGACGAAAAACCGGTCATAGGGAAAGGGTCTGGACCTCTGGGGGGCGCGTCATGAAAAAATCATGACGTCGGGGGTCTGGGTCTCAACATGCAGAATGCACTTCTTTGCAGTTGTGTGGAGGCTGCTGAGGGCCGCTAAGTTGCCGCTGGAGGCCACCAGACGCTGCCAAAAGACGACATACTGAGAGCAAGGGAAGGAGAACACCGATCATGACGCAAGGCCGCTGAAGGCAACTGTTGGATGCCAAACCTGTGCGGCACACGTTGGTATACTTGCGCTCGAGTGCGCCTCCCTCAAGACTCGCCCGACCCTCTTTCCCCCCGCCGCCGAGAGGGAGATGTTCGCCATCATGGCCAGCAACAACGCCCTGGAGGCGGCGCTCGCGCTCAAGCGGCGGCCCGACACCGAGGACACCGAGCAGTGGCCGAGCAGCCCCTCGAGGGGCAGCGGCGAGGGCGAGGCCGGCCCGTGCACCAGCGGGCCCTGCCGGGAGCTGCGCGCGGGCCTGGAGGCGCGGCTGCGGGCCGCGGAGGCGGAGGCCCGCCGCGCCGCGGAGGCCTGCGCCGCGCAGCTGCGGCGGGCCGAGGAGGACTACGCCGAGAAGTTCCGGCCTCAGTGGGCCCTGGAAGCGGCAGGGCCGTTTTTTCACCGGTTCCGTCTTGCCGTTTTTTCCCCCGGTCCCGACGCCGTTTTTGTTACCAGTTCCGTTTTGCCGTTGTTCCCAGATCATTGATTCCCGACTTTTTCCAGGTACGAACGGTCGCGACCGATGGGCCCCCAAAATCGGTAACCGTTACCGACCCCGCGACCGACCCGCGACCGCTCCGCGACCGACCCGCGACCGAACCGTTACCGACCGCGACCGACCGCGATCTGACAATGATCTGACGTCAGATCATTGTCAGATCGATTTTTTTCACGAAAATGCAAAGGACGAGGACGATAATGACGAATACGATCGCTGCAACAATATATACGAAATGCTGCAACACACCCTCCTCGTCATATTCCTCATCCTCATTTTTCCTATATTCTCCCGTTCCTTTTTATCATCCTCCTCATCGTGTTCCTCCACCTCCTCCTCCTCCTCATCATCATTATCATGATCGTTATCCTGATCGTTATCATCACCATCATCATCCTCATCCTCATCATCATCATCATCATCGTCATTATCATCAGCATCATCACCATCCTCTCCCCATCCTTATCATCATCCTCCCAGCCATTGCGCGATGGGGGCGACCTTTTTCGAGGCCTCCCGCGCAGCGGGAACGCTGTTCCGCTCTCGGCGGCAGCTGGGCGGGCAGCAGCGGCAGAAGTGGGCGAGCAAGAGCGGGCACGAGAGAGAGAGAGAGTGAGAGAGAGAGATCTCTATATATGAACATGGAGAGGGAGACAACCTCAATCAGCTTGTTGGGACGCTTCATGAGAAGCACACGATCTGACAATGGTCTGACGTCAGACCATTGTCAGATATATGACAATAGTCTGACGTTAGACCATTGTCAGATTTGGCAATGTCTGACAATGGTATGACGTCAGAGCATTGTCAGATATATGACAATAGTCTGACGTCAGACCATTGTCAGATCGTGGTCAGAGATGGAGAATTCTGGAAGGAGTGGGCTGGGTTAAGCGGGAGGGCTGATGACTCGATTCTCGAGCATGGGAGAGGGGGGGGGAACGGGCTGATACGCCCAGCCCAGGCCCAAACACTCGCGCAGACACGTACTAGATGGAGAAGGAGGCGAACGATGAGGGAGGGATTTGCATGGGGAGCGAGGTGGGAGGAAGGGGGGGGAGTGCGGAAGGGTAGGGGGGAGGGGGAGAGGGCGGATACAATGATGACACAGAGGGCTATGGGTGGAAACAGCGTGGTCGACCTCGAAGGGTAGGTACCTGGGAGGGGGAGGGAGAGGCTGGACCGCGCCTGCACGAGTGGTTGGGCCTGGGCCCCCTGCTACTCGACGCACCCGCGGCAATACTGCAAATCCGCAACCCCATCGGGGGGCAACCATGCCGCGACCCGATCGTTGCCCTCCCCCCATCCTCCGCCCTCTCCTCTTGCCCCTCCTCCTCCTCCTCATCCTCCTCCTCCTCCCCCACATCCCCCCTCCTCCCCTCCTCCTCCTACTCCCCCTCCTCATCCCCCTCCTCATCATCGTCCTCATCCTCATCACCATCATCACCATAATCATCATGGCCATCACCACCGCCATCAGCTTCGTCATACTCATCACCAGCCTCCTCCTCCTCCTCATCATCATCATCATGTATCAGCATCATCACTATTATTATCATATGTATTATTGTTTTTACTAGGTGGAATTAGGTGGGTGTGACACCAGTCTATAACTGTCGACCGAGCCGAACGCGCTCGCAAACTTTTAACGACACTGAGTATATGCTGGTCCCCATTGCACAGCCAGCCGCGCACGTAGTGATGAAGCGCTGCCAGTCTTCTGGCTGATAGCACCAGACGAACCTCGGGTTAACAGGAGTCTGGCGTGCCATATGATGGAAAAAATGATGCTTGTTCACGCAACTCCACGTCAGTTTGGGGGGCACCCTATCGACAGCCCCTCTGGCAAGAGACTGGTAGCACGCCAAGAATCCGTCGACTGCGCGCGTCAATCGGTCGCACTCGTCCTGCGACAGGAACATCTCTCCCTGAGATACGACGTCGTAAAAGCGCACCAGGTTCTTGAACAACAAACTCCTAGTCCTGGTGCGCACATCTCCTGCAATCTCCCAGTCCTTCGCCAAAAACAATCCTACCCGCCCTAAGGTTCTGGCCTCCGCGGCCTTGATACTGTGGGCCAATACTGGGTAGTCCCCGTGGGGAGAGTCCTTGTCCTTAAGGAACATCGATAACTTAAAGTTGGATAGTCTATGTGGTAAGTTCTGCTCGTCGTATATTTCTTGTATGCGGGCCCACAGTCTGGATACCCTGTCGGCGATGCGACCATGCATGTGTTCATAAATAATCTCATAGAATAGACTGGCAACCGCATACCCACAGACTCCCAGATCGACCGCATGCATGGCGTCGATCGCCAACGTGTCAGTCGTAACGCCCCATATTTTAAACAAGGGGTGGTCGCACGCGTAGACTTTCTCGTGTCTGCTCCAGCGGTTGGGGTCCGCGGCTCCATTCGAAAAGTCATTCCACGGATTCGTAGACTTGTTGGCGGTGCAGATCCAGCAAAACTCGTCGGACCCAGGGGCTGGCATTCCCAATGACGAAAAGAATTCGAGATCACCCAAAACAGAATGAATGAACGCGCGAAAGGGGCGGGACGACTCGCAAAGGTAAGTGCCTGCGAGAGCAGCGCGGTCTGGGTCCAAGGCATTGCCATTCCAATCCGCTTCCCCTCATGTGAGGAGATGCAAGTCCACCACTCTTCCCGCGAAGAGAACCCCCTCCGTTGGGGGCAACCCAGGCCGTGAGCCCGTGGCCGCCGACCGCACCGACGTTCACCAACGCACTTCTGCCCCCAACCCGCCACATCAATACATCAAGCCACGCCGACCTCTCATGCCTCCCTGCCTCGCCCCCACGCGCGGCACCTCCCATGTCTCGTTCGCATCGCATGCGACAGCCGACGGGCACGGGGGCGGCGACAACCAACGGGCACGGAGGCGGCGATCGCGAGCGTGGGCACGAACAAATTGGGATATGGACAAGGAGTGGGGGGATGGAACGGGAGCACAAACGGAAACCCAAGAGGGCCCCAATACGGCTCCAAGGGGCCACCAATGTGGCCCAACAGCAAGGGCGGGTGTTCGACTGACCCTTGGGGGCGCCTTTGGCGCACTCCTGATGGGGGCATCTGGGAGCCGTCTTGAGGCCCACTTGGGCCATGTCCTAGGGCCCTCAGAGGGTTCGGTGGGAGGGGGACGGAGGGAGGGATCGGAGGGATCGGTCAGAGGGACGGGGTCGGTGGGAGGGGTGCGGAAGGGCGCGGATGGGAGAGGGGATGGGTGGAGCAGGGAATAATAAGGAAACGCACAGCAGTCTGGGTTGGGTAGTTTGGGAACATGGCGTAGCCTCTTAATCGCGCCTAGGATGCTTGCCCGATGCCAGGGCATCGAAGGACCACTGAAGGATTTTCCATATCTCTGTCCAGGTGTCTTCCCCATGTTGCCGTTGTTTCGCTGAAATGCTTAGCGGGAACGACACTAAGTGCAGCGTCAACTGTTTAGTTTTACCTACTGCTAACAATCCAGTCATTGATATCGACGTCAAGGAATCACGGCACAGGAATTCTGCACCGTCCCCGTGCACGCGAAGTGGCACAGTGTATTCTTCCCTGGCGGTACGTGAAATCCCCCATACAGGATGTCGACGTAAACGTCGTTCGTCCCTGAGATATGTTTATACACCTGCAGCGCTGGCGGCAATGTTTTTGTGGTGTTGTACGGGGGGGGTTGGGGATGCGGGTGCCTAGTGCTGGGTTGCAGGGATGGGGGGTGGGGTACACGCGACATAGTTGGTTGTTGGGCGGGCTGGTTTTCCCCCATTGATTCGAATGTTTCGACGGCGCGTGAAACAATTGAAAGCGCTCACCTGCGTGCGTTGGCCCAGTAGTAGGAGATTTTGCCGGCTCCGAAGAGCTCCTCGAAATCGTCCCGAAAGTTGTGGTAGAGGGTAGCGAACCATTCATGAGGCAGTAGTACACTGCAAGTCGATCTTGAAACGGCAGCCGCCTTGTTGTCCCAGGCAGGGATGCTGAAGGTGTACGGTGTCGGCAATGGGGTATCGCCGTGTTTCCTCATGAGCTCTGCGTGTACATTCCCAGGGTGCGTCCCGAAAGTTCCCAGGCTCGCCAGCGTCGTGATCTCGGGGTGCGTTAAGCCATCGAGGTGCGCAGCATGGGCCGTGCGCTGCACCTCGGTTGCTGGCATACACCCCCATGCCCATGAGCTCAGCAACTTTGTGCCCAACTGTGAATACTGGGGTGCTGGCGGGTTCAGTGGGGGCGACGCCTCGACATCACCATCGGCCCCCACAGGGTTGAGGCGTCGACGGTTGTGTTGTTTTGGTGGCATGTTTCCAGAAACCTGGTGGGCCCTCGAGCCCAAATGCCTAGTCGCACGCCTCGCGAACAGCGCTAGCTGTGGGGCAACAACGCCAACAGGGATTGCGGCAACTGGGGTGGGGGGCGGGGTGGTGGTGGGTGGGTGGGGGGGGGGAACGTGCCCTTAAATTGTTGAGGCGGGGGCGGGGGGAAGACGCTGCCAGACGCAGGTCGGGCGGGAATCGTGAAAGCGAGGGGGGGGCGGGCGACGCGGAAAAGACGCATGCGATGCGATGAGCGTGTCGAGTAGGAGGACGACAGGGGGGGGCACCCAAACGAAGAACGTAAACCAAGCCGCTCCCTGTCCGCGGTGTTCCCCCTGGTAACCGTACGCAGGCGCAACGTGCGCCCAAGGCAGAGCGCCTCCATGCCACGATCGAGCACCGATCGCGCGTGCAGTAAAAAAACGTGCTTGCCGCACGCGGGCTACTGCACAGGAGCGAGGCCTCCTCTCTGCGTGCCCTGCGACCCATCCAGCTGCAACACCTGCTATCCGATCCCACCGTCGCCTGCTTCATG